AGTCCAACATATTCCATTCCACTACATTCCATTACATCCCAGTCCATTCCATTCCATCACATCGTATCCCCTCACATCCCATCCCATCCCGTCCTATCAAGTTCCATTCCAGTCCGTCGTCATTGTCGTCGTCGTTGTCTTCGTTGTCGTCGTCGTCGTTCTCATCGTTGTCGTCGTCGTCGTCGGCGACACCGTCGTCGTCGTCGTCGTGAGCATCGTCGTCGTTGTCGCCGTCGTCTTCGTCGTCGCAATCGTTTTCGTCGTTGTCGTCAACGTCGTCTTCGTTGTTGTCGTCGTCTTCGCCGTCGTCGTCGTTGTCGTCGTCGTCGTCGTGAACATCGTCGTCGACATCGTCGTCGTCGTCTTCGTCGTCGTCGTCACCGCCGCCATCGCCGTCGTCGTCTTCCTCGTCGTCGTCTTCTTCGCTGTCGTTGGCGTCGTCGTCGTCGTCGTCGTCGTCGTCCGTCGTTCGTCGCCTGTCGTCCGTCGTCCGTCGTCCGTCGTCGTCGTCCGTCGTCCTCGTCGTCCTCGCCCTTGTCGTCGTCGTCGTCGTCGTCTTCTTCGTCGTCGTTGTCGTCATCCGTTGTCCGTCGGCCGTCGGCCGTCGTCCGCTGTCGTCGTCGTCGTCGTCCGTCGTCGTCGTCGTCGTCGTCGTCGTCGTCGTCGTCGTCGTCGTCGTCGTCGTCGTCGTCGTCGTCCGAGGCGCTGCCGCGCGGCAAGTCAAGTTGATCGTTTCCGCCGCGCTGCCGCGTTGAACACTGTTGCACTGTTGTGCTCGCCTCCACGCGGCATTTCCACGCGGCGAGTAAACATGGAATGCCCCCTTGCGGCCCAGCGTTCCCGCGTGGCGAGCAACGCTGAATGGTGTGCATCCGCCCCGTGGGGTTGCTCGTTTGGCTCCCAGGCGCTGCCACGCTGCGCGTGGAGCGGACCTGTAATTTTCTCGACCACCCCGGCGTCGCCGCGCGACGAGTGGCATGGAATATTTTGCCTTCGGCCCCCACAGGTTTTGCCCCGTGGCGAGTGGAGTGGCGTGTTTTTTTGTTGTTCGTTCTCCCCGGCATTGTCACATGACGAGTAGAGTGGAGCAGTCCTTTTTGCCATCCAGGCGTCGTCGCGCGGCGATTATAGTCGAATCGTATTTGTCTGCCCCAGGCGTTGCGATGTGATGTTCCTTTCCCGCTGCATTGCATTGAATTGCATTGCATTGACTGCGTTGGATTATCAGCCTCGCGACTCATGCCTGAACTCCCCAACCACCTGACCGGATTTCTTTCTTTTTTTCCGCGGGGTTTCTTTTCTTCTTCCGCGCGCCAGTACAACTCCCTGGCGCAACTCCGTAGTGCAACTCCCTAGTACAATGTCCTAGTACAACGCCCTGGAACAAGTGGTACTAGTACAACTCCCTAGTGCAACTCCCTAGTGCATTTCCCTAGTATAACTCCCCAGTGCAACTCCCTAGTGCAATTCCAGTAGTGCAACTCCCTAGTACAACTCCCAGTAGCACTCCTTGGTACAACCCCCTATTACTCGCACAACTCCCTAGTGCAGCCGCTATTAGAGTGTTGCTGCATTGCACTTACAATCTGGGCTCTCACGCTTTTCCTCCTCTGGTTGCGCTGGGGGGCGTGGGGCCCCTCGCGCGGGCACCCCTCGGCTGAGAATTCATTCCTCTTCCGGAATTTGAGGCGGGGGTAACCCCCGTGCTCGAACCCCTCGCCAGGGATTCTTTTCTTTCCTCCGCGAAAGCCGGAATCCCTGGGTTCCTGGGCGCGCCCCAGAAGTTCTTTCCTTCCGGATGGGCCCCCATGGGTCCTTCGTTGGAGTCGCGGGGCTGATGTTGGATTGCATTGGCATTGAGTTACGTTTGCATTGCGTTGCAGTGCAGCGCTTTTCGTTGCATTGCACTCGCAATTGCATGATATTTTGTTTACAGATAGCCCAAAAACGATTTGATCACCAGCAAGTGCCAAAGTGGCCAGCCAGCCAACCGATCAACCAACAAACGGGGCCCACCTACCAACCAGCCAACCAACCAGCCTGCCAACCGTCCAACGAACCAACCAACCAGTCCTTCCTTTGGCATTTTTAGGGTTGTTCCACGCCGCGGGGCGTGGATTAGATTTTTGATGGCCCAGCAGCAAGCCAGCCAACCAACCAGCCAGCCACTCCAGAAATAGATTTGTTGACCCGGCAGCCAGCCAGCCAACCAACCAGCCAGCCAGGCCACACTTTGGGTTGTTGTTTGAGGATGTCTCACGCGGCGGGCCCTGAAACATATTTTCTTGACCAATAAACGGCAGATTCTTAGAACCCCGAAAGAATCTTTGTTCTTAACCCCTCTCCCGAGGAGGACGAGTCCCAGGCGCGACCGCCGACTCCCAGCCCCGAGACGTCCCGGCCGTACCTCCCCGCGGTCTGTGCGCTCGTAGCGCGCCGCGCGGGAGTCTCGCCGTGTGGGGTGTGGTGGAGGACAGGAGAAGAGACATAAGAAGGCGGGGGAAGTCGAGGAGGAGGGAGGGCAGGTCAGCTCGGCTCCACAGCTCGAGCGACCAGTGAGGCGCGAGATGCTCGACAGACCGATGCGGGCTGCGCCTGGGTGGCCAGGTGACGGCGGCGAAGGGGGAGAAGGCGGCGGAGGAGGAGGAGTAGGAGTGGAGTTCAAGTCAGCCCGGTCGAGCGAGTCAGGGGGCCCCGCCTTCTCTCCCACCCCCCTTCCCGCAGCACAAGAGTCAATCGGGGGCACCATTCGAGACGGGGATCGGAATGCCCCCCCCACCTCGCAAGTTCACGGAGCTCGCGCGCAGTCCCGCTCCCAACGCCCTGGCGAAGAGAACTCTACGTGGACCGCGCATGGGGCGGGAGTGGCAAAACTCTTCATGGGCGCGGCGAGGACGAGGCACGCGCCGCGGTGTCACAGCATTGTCACTTTCACGCACAAGCGGCGCGGAGTCTGGGCGAGGCCGGCATGTCCTCCGCTCTCGCGCGTCCCCGCTGCCGCTGTCGCTGTCATGCGCTTCGGCGAACGGACCATGCGCCGCGCCCGCGTTGGATCGCCGCTTCCGAACCAACTGTGCGTGGAATCTGGGCGAGGGTGACATCGCTCACTCGCGCGGCCCCCCCCAAAAACATCCGAACGACACATATGGGCCGCGTCTGGGTGGGAACGACGTTTTCGTTTGCTCGCGCGTCGACGAAAGTGCATGCGACAAATGTGCGCCGCGCCCAAGCGGGAGCTCAATTCTCTAGAACATTGAGCGCGTCGCCGAGGCGAGAGCGACACTTCGACACTTCGCGCTGCATGTGCGTCCCGTCCCACTGCTGCCACGCATTGTACACCGTGGGCAACGTAATGTCCGTGTTGAGACGAAAAGCGTAGTCTGTACAATGTCTTTCAAAGGTAACACTGGGTCGCTAGCGGCTGGTTGGGTGGCAGAGTGGTTGCGTATACGCATGAGGAATAATTTTAGGACGGAGGGCGAACGTGGAAAGGGCGAGGAAATAATAGGAAACATGCGTACGGAGAGGGAGGTGGAAGGATGGACGGTGATGGTGATGGAAGTGGTGAGGGTGATGGTGATGGTGATCGTGATGGTGGTCGTGCTGCTGGTGATGGTGATGGTGATGGTGGTGGTGGTGGTGGTGGTGGCGGCGGTGGTGGTGGTGGTGGTGGTGGTGAGGATGGGAGGAGGAGGAGGAGGAGGAGAGGAGGGGAGGAGGAGGAGAGGAGGAGGAGGGAAGGAAACGGAATAGGGGAAGGGGAGGAGGCGGAGGAGGAGGAGGAGGGAGGGAGGGAGGGAGGACGAGAGGAGGACGAGGAGGAGGAGGAGGAGAGGAGGAAGGAAGAGGAGAAGGAGGAGGAGGAGGGGGAGGAGGAGGGAGGAGGAGGAGGAGGAGGAGGAGAGGAAGAGGAGGGGGAGGAGGAGGAGGAGGAGGGGAGGGAGGAGAGGAGGAGGAGGAGGAGGAGGAGGGGAAGGAGGAGGGGAGGAGGAGGAAGAGGAGGATGAGGAAGAGGAGGAAGAGGAGGAGGAGGAGGAGAAGAAGGAGGAGGAGGAGGAGGAGGAGGAGGAGGAGGAGGAGGGGAAGGGATGGATGGATGGGGGAGGGAGGGAGAGGGAGGAGGAGGGAGGGAGGGAGGGAGGGGAGGGAGGGAGGGAGGGAGGAGGGAGGAGGAGGAGGGAGGCGGCGGAGGAGGAGGCGGAGGAGAGGAGGAGAGGAGGAGGAGAGGAGGAGGAGGGAGAGGAGGGAAAGGAGGAAAAGGAGGAGGAGGAGGAGGAGGAGGAGGAGGGAGAGGAGGAGGAGGAGCATGAGGACTGGGGAGGGGGATGGGGGAGTCTCACAGTGATGTGCCTCGACGGCACGGCCTGCCTCACAGAGGCACCGCTCTCGGACACGCGCGGCGCATGCCTTGGATATGGCACGGCCAAGAGTTGTACGCTTGCCAGGGCCCCTCCATGCACACGACCAGCGCCGCCGACGCTGTTCCGTCGGACCCGAGGAGAGGCGGCGTGGCCCTCCTCCCCCCTCCTCCCCGCCTCCTCCTCCTCTTCCTCCTCTTCTTCCTTCTCCTCCTCCTCCTCCTCCTCCTCCTCCTTGTCCTCCTCCTCCTCCTCCTCCTCCTTCCCTCTCCTCCTCCTCCTCCTCATCCTCTTCCTCCTCCTCCTCCTCCTCTTCCTCCTCCTCCTCCTCCTTTTCCTCCTCCTCCTCCTCCTCGTCCACCTCCTCCTCCTCCTCCTCCTCCTCCTTTTTTGCAGCCGTTTCCCCGCAGGCGGGGGCCTGGGGTGCCGCGCGCGCGAGTGGCAGCGGCGCAGCGTGCGGGAGCGGATGGCGGTCGCATGATGCTCCTTCGGCTCCTCCTGCCTTCGGCGCTGCTGGAGTGCAATGGCGCGCAGCAGGTGCTCGCAGGCCAGGCGTAGCGCCTCACGCAGGAGGTGAAGGACATCGACGAGGTGGAGGTCAGGGTGGTGTTGGGCTATGGGGACTAGGGCCCCAACCACACCGCCGAGGAGGAGAGGATCCTGAGGGCTGATGGCGCTGCTGCCGAAGGCGATGCCCGTCAAGCCGCCCATGTTCCCCGTCCTCACGGGGATGGTCTAGGAGCCGCCGCCGGGGTACTGGGGGGAGCCGCAGGCGCCGCAGGTGTGGTGTGGGACCATGCCGCAGGTGACGCTGACGGAGGAGGAAGTGTCCAGGCAGGAGGAGGTGCGCGAACTGGGCGCGCGCCACCACAGCTTCCAGCGGGCGCAGCCGATGGGGGAGGATATGATGATGAAGGACGGCGGGAAGGCTTCGACGGAGACGGAGGGGCTGCCGACCGTGGACAGGAGACGATCGCGACCGCAGAGGCGTCCGAGGACAGTTTCGATAAGTTCGGAGATCAGCAAGCACCACAAAAAGAACCAGAAGGACAAGAAGGACAGTAAGTCCAATATTAACAAGGAGAAGAAGGCCAAGAGAGTATCGCCGCAGCCGCAGGAGGAGGGGCAGCACGTCAGGAAGCCACCTTCGCGGTTTACATCGGCACCGTGGGCGAGGTAACAGGTGACAGCTGCGACCTAAGCGAGGTGAAGAAGGTGAGGTTATTGCCCAGTCTTGTGGATGAGCGTGGCCATGTGTGCGGCGCGGAGTTCTGCAGCCTCGGCGAGGACAGCGACGCAGACGAGAACATCGCGGCCAACATCGAGCACTCTTGCGCGTCGCTCGAGGAGGCTGCGCCTGCAGTTCTGACGGCCAAGAAGTGGGGTGAGCTCCAGATAAGCGACGTGGTCATGATCAAGGGCCACCCATGCAAGGTGATCAACATTACGGCAGCGAAGAAGGGCAATAACGGCCTCGGCAAGCTGAAGATTGAGGGGTCGGACATCCGCGCGTCGCTGCAATGCGAGGACGTCAAGGCGGCAACCTTCGTGGCCAACCTCCCCCAGGAGTCGGGGTTGGACAGCAGCAGCGGGCATGCGTGGAGCACAGCGCGCTCGACAGCGAGATGCTGATGGCGCAGCTCGGCGAGCGCGCAGCGCAGCTCCAGAAGCATGGCCTGCTGGGCGACGGCGCGTTCGAGACGGTCCGCAGCTTCGCGAAGCAGGCCGTCAAGAAGGAGGATGAGAGCGAGGCTCAACCTGGAGGTTTCTTGGTCGACCCGCAACCGCAGGCGGTGAAGCAGGTGTCGAAGATGGAGGATCAGGCCCGGAGTTCAGCGAATCGGAGCTGGGCCAGTTCGAGGACTCGCTGAACTTCAAGGTTGGCCACTGTCAGGCTTGCCGGAGGCTCCAGGCCTGAGCGGCCGCGGGTAGAGAGGCCCCTACCCCCGACGTCCCCTGGCCTCCTGGGGTGGGCCGTTGGCCCTTGGTTTTGGCGGGGTGTTCGGTCCCGCGGGTTTTGGTCGGTGGGCCTCTGGGCCCGCCGCGGCCATTTTGGGCTGCCACTCTGGGGCCCTGGTGGCCTCTCGCCCCGCAGGTCGAGGCGGCGCGCGGGCGGCGCGGGCGCGCCCGCGGCGGCGGCGGCGGGGCCGCCGCCCCTTCGCCGAGAGCGAGGGGGGCCGACAGGCCTCCAATTAGTCGCGCAGTCAGACACGCACACACACAACACACAACACACAGCACACAACACACACAAACAAACAAACACACACACACACACGCACACACACACCACACCACACCACACCACACCACACCACACCACACCACACCACACCACACCACACCACACCACACCACACCACAACACAACACAACACAACACAACACAACACAACACAACACAACACAACACAACACAACACAACATAACATAACATTACACAACACACCACACCACACCACAACACAACACAACACAACACAACACAACACAACACAACACAACACAACACAACACAACACAACACGCACGCGCACGCACGCGCGCACGCACGCGCCCGCGCACGCACGCACACACGCAGACGCACACGCACACGCACACGCACACGCACACGCACACGCACACGCACACGCACACGCACGCACCCGCACCCGCACCCGCACCCGCACCCGCACCCGCACCCGCCCACCCACCCACCCACGCGCACGCACGCACGCACGCACACGCGCACGCACACGCACACGCATGCGCGCACACGCGCGCACACACACGCACGCACACGCGCACACACGCACGCGCGCACACACGCACACACGCGCACACGCACACACGCACGCGCACGCACACGCACGCACGCACGCACACTCACGCACGCGCGCGACACGCACGCACACGCACGCACACGCACGCGCACGCACGCGCACGCGCACGCACGCACACGCACGCAACGCACGCACACGCACACGCACGCACGCGAACACACCACACGCGCACACACACACCGCACACTCACGCCACACACACGCAAACCCACGCACGCCGCGCCGACACGCCACGCACGCGCACGAACCACGCGGCGCACGCGCACGCACGCGCACACGCGCACACACACGCACCACACACACACACGCACGCATGCAGCACACACGCACACGCAAGCGCACACATACACCACACCACACACCACCCACACCACACCCACCACACACCACGCACACACAACACGGCAAAACACGCCCCCCCCCCCCGCCCGCCCCCCCCCCCGGGTGGACCGGAAAGGTGCACGCACGCCGTCGCACGCGCGCACACGCACACACACACACACACGCATACGCGCACGCAGCGTCACACACCGCGCACACCACACCACAACACGCGCGCACACACACGACACGCCCACGCGCGCGCACGCACGCACGCGCGCGCGCACGCACCCACGGCGCGCGCGAGCACGCACGCACGCACGCACGCCGCGCGCGCACGCACGGCACGCGCGCACGCGGCGCACGCGCGCTCACGCGCGCACGCGCGCGCGCGCACACGCGCACGCTGACGCGCACGAGCACGCATACACATGCGCCGCGCCGACAGGCGCACGCGCGCACGCGCGACGGCGCACGCGCGCGCACGCCGCGCACGCGCAATCGCGCGCAAGCGCACGCGCGCACGCGCGCGCACGCGCACACGCGCACGCGCGCGCACGCACACGCGCACGCACGCACGCGAGCACGCGCGCAAATCGACACGCGGCAACCGCGCGCGCGCACGACGAGCCACGCGCACGCGACGCGGACGCGCACGCGCGCGCACGCGCGCGCGCGGCACACGCGCACGCGCGCACACGCGCACACGCGCACACGCGCACCAACGCGCGCGCGCGCACGGCGCGCACTGCGCACGCGCGCACGCGCGCACGCGCGCGCACACGCGCACACGCGCACACGCGCACACGGACACACGCGCGCACGCGCGCACGCGCACACACGCACACGCGCACACGCGCACACGCGCACGCGCACACGCGGTCACGCGCACACGCCCACACGCGCACACGCGCACACGCACACACACACACACACACACACGCACACACACATACATACACACGCACACACGCGCGCACGCGCGCACACGCGCACACACACGCACACACGCGCACACGCAAACACGCACACAAGCACACACGCACACACGCACACACGCACACGCACACACGCACGCACACAACACACGCACACACACAACACACACAACACACAACACACAACACACACACACACGACACACACGCACACACACAACACACACACACACCGCACACACGCACGCACGCACGCACACACACAACACACAACACACAACACACAACACACAACACAGCACACGCCACACAACTCACACACACATTTCCTCCTCCCTTTTTCCGCATCCAGTTTGGCACGAGCCATTTTGGCTCAAGTGTTCGCGCGGTCGTCGATGTCAGGGGCTCTGATATCGGCGCTTAGAAGGGCCATCTCCGCCGCCGATGCCGCTGTCCTCGTGGGCGCGGCGGCGCGGGCGGCGCAGGGCGCCGGGGCGCCTCGGCGCGCGGTGGGCGCCGTCGCGCGCACGGCCGCGGCCGCGGCGGCTTCGGCTGCCGTGGGCCCGCCGCCCGCGGCGGCGGCTGCGGGGAGCGCTGGGGGGCGCGGCGACGACGACGACGACGACGACGGGGGGCGCAGGGGGCAGGGGGCGGTTGCGGTTCTAGCGCGTGCTTCTACGGCGGCGCGTCGGGAACGGCGCCGTCGGCGCCGCCCGCGGCTCGCTGGTCGACGCGCCCTGGGGCGCGGGGGAGCGGCGGCGGCTGCAGAGGGGAGGGGCGCCCTGTGAGTGGTCGAGCCCATGGCGTTCGACGGCCCCGCGGAGGCGCCCCCTCGCGTCGGCGTCGGCGACGCCTGCGGCGATTCATGGGCAAACGCGATGCGGCTGCAGCGGATGCAGGAGGCGGCTGGAGCGGCGCTTGCGGGCGGCGGCCCGTTCGCCGTGGAGGCCGCGCCTGCAGCGCCGCATGCGGCCGCGCCTGACCTGGGCATGGTGGAGGTTGGGCACGGTGCCGCTGGCGCGGTGGCGCAGGAGCTCGCGTCCGCGGAGGCGCGGTATGAGCAGGAGCTCAAGAAACCCCTCCCCCAGTTGGTCAAGGCGCGCCTCATGGCTCAGTTGGAGCGCGTTCGCGCTGACACCCGTGGCAGCGGCCTTCCGAGTTCGTCGTGGGGAAGCCGTTCGAGACCAGGGCGGCGCTGCGGCGGCGTCCGGAGCGGCGGGGGGGGGGGGCGATAATGCCCGATCGGGCCGTACTGACCATCGCGCCCTTCGTCTTCGGTTTTCTCGTCCTCGTCAGCATGTTTGTTTAAGACCGACGAGACGGTCGGGGACCTTGCGCCTCAGGTGGCGGCCAGGTCCCCGCGGTCGCGGCCGCGCGGCGGCCGCGTAGTCCCGCGGATCTCTTCCCTTCTGGGTTGTCCTACCTACCTACCTACCTACCTGTCTACCTACCTACCTCCTCCTCCTCCTGCTCCTCCTGCTCCTCCTCCTCCTCCTCCTCCTCCTCTTCCTCCTCCTCCTCCTCCTCCCCCTCCTCCTCCTCCTCCTCCTCCTCCTCCTTTTCCTCCTCCTCCTCCTCCTCCCTTTTCTCTCCCCCCTCTCATCCTCATCCCTCCTCTTCGGATGGTTCCCAACAACAGGCCACCCGCGTTTTGCAAGCTGGTCCGGGCCGATCTGCCAGCGCGCCCTCCCTCCCGGCGGCCACGTGTCCGCTCAGAGCTTTCTGAGTTGGAGCCGGCGCAATCCCCCACAGCCCCCCAAACGGGGACAGTTCCCCCCGAACTGACGCGCGAAAGGCGGCCACTCCTGGGGGGACTGGGTGCGCCAGCCAGGGCGTATTTGCTGCAAATGCATGGGAGTTTCGCGGCGCACGCGACGACAGTGCGATCGACCGAGAGCTCCGCTCAGCGCTCGGGGCCGCGCCCCCTGCCATCACGGCATCTGGCAGCTTATGACCAGCACGCCAGCGCGCCAGCACGCGCTGCCGGTGCGGCACCCCGCCGGCGCGCGCCCGGCCCCCAGCAGCGCCGCCAGTCCGCGCCCAGCGCCGCCCGCCCGTGCGCTCACCCAGCAGCGGTTCCCCGTCAGCGCTGGCCAGCCCATCCGGCGGCCGGCGCCCAGCCTCGCGCAGCCTCGCCGCCGTCTCTCGGCCGGCCAGAGGAGGTTCTTCAAGCAAGGAGGCCCCCATCCTTCAGGACCCCATCTTTGAACCACCGATTCTCCAACCCTCGCCGCAGCTGCCCAGGCGAGGCCAGCGTCCCGGCGGCGCTGCAGGGCGAGTCGCGCTTGTACCGCGCAGCTGACCGCCCTGTCGGCGTTGGCCAGCTCAGCAGGCTGCCAGTCGGCAGGGAGCGCGCGCACCTGCTTCCAGAGCCACTCCCGGGCCTATCGGCCGAGGCGGCCCGGGGTCTCCGCCACGAAGGGTGCGAGGCGTTCCCTCGGGTACCTGGCGTGCTTCTGGCGCTCGGCCCTGCGGACGGCCTCCCCAGCGCGGCGCGCTGCCGCCGGCGCCACGTCCGCAGCCGCGGGGGGGCGGACCGACACGTCGATCCAGTGCCGGCCAGCCCCGTCGTGGTATTCCACGTCGAGGACCGCGCGCTCGACCAGGTCCGCGTCGGGCAGGTCCGCTGGCCGCCTGCTCCGCTCCCGATCCAAGGTCGGGACGCGCTGTACCGTGAGCGGTTCCTGGTGCAACCAGCGTCCGGCCAGGCCAGCCACAGCCGTGCTCGTGGCTGCCGTGGC